TTTTTCATAAAATATATCTGTGACATTTAACTACAAAACTACATTAAGCACACTATTAAAATGTTTACACAGCACTACTAATCAATACAACAAAATACACGCAGTAGATATCTGTGCAGAGCCACGTAATGTGCATTTTTCACCGTGTCCTGTAGCGACATTTGCCCACAGCTGCTCCAGCTCTGCCCCCGAGCAGCGCAGGCGGAGCAGGAGAGCACCAGGGATGGACGGACAGACGGACAGACGGACAGACGGACAGACGGACAGACGGACGGACGGACGGATGGAGGGATGGATGTGGAAGGCAGCTCCTGCCACCTCGTGGGGACAGCGCTCCTCTCCCACCGCTTCTCCTTCCCTCTGGATCAGCCTCAGCTTCCCCCGGGATGCAGAAATGTTTCCTCATGTGAAAAATATTTATTTAATGAATGGCTTTTCGCAATTATTCAAATGAATATTATATGTGTTATGTCAGAAAGTGATGCTGTGTTAATTTTTTTAGTAGTGTGTCAAATATAGTGTTAGGTTATATCATAACATTAAAATAGAAACTATGCTATGTAAGATACTTTTTTTGAAGAAAGGACTCGCAGTGAGACAGCAGCCACAGGACACCTGAATCTTTCAGAGAAAGAGAATTTATTGCTCCGTTATCAGCACAAACGAACTTCTTCCTGCCTGCTCAGCCCTGGAGATGCCGTCAGGATCCAGAGGAAGAAGCTGACACTGCCCAGACAGGATCCTGAGTTTGAATGGAATTTATGCATCATGGATGAGCTGTATGAATATGCAACAGGCTGTTGCTTTTAAGGGTTAATCCTCTGTTATCGTGGGACCTTTTTTGGGCTTATTTTGCCCAGAGAGATGTACCTGGAGTGTCCATAACTCTTTGTTTTTATTGTCTCATATTATCCTAATCCTAATTGTCCAAACTATTATTAAATTATATTACTATTTTTATAACCATTTTATTACTATTAAACTTTTAAATTTTAAAAAACAAGTGATTGGTGTTTTTCACACACCTGCAGAGCCTCAGAGTCTGGCACCCACCTCCAGTAGGCAGCAAATTCCACCTTGTGAAAAATGTGCATTTTATGATTGGCTTTTCACAAATATCCAAATGAATATTATGTGTGTTGTGTTAGAAAGTGATGCTGTGTTAATTCTCTTAATTCTCTTATATTACTATTTTTATAATCATTTTATTACTATTAAACTCTTAAAAGTTTCAAAAACAAGTGATTGGCATTTTTCACTCCTCACAAAGGGAACCCCAGCCCGGGCGCATCTGCTCATAATAATTCTTCTTTTTTTAATTAATTATTTTTCTGCTATCCCTAAAGCACAACCTCCTTTCCCATTCTCTCCTTCCACCCCCTGAGCTGCTGGCTGAGAACATAAATAATCCTAACCCAGAGCAGGAAAAGAAGAAATAAGAATAAAACACTGTAAGCACAGTGTGGGGTGTTCTGTCAGCCTGAGATACAATGAAATCCAGCAGGAAAAGGTTTCCTCAGGTTTAATGAAGATTATTCTGTATTTCTGCATTTTAAAGTCACTAATAAACATAACCTATATACGTATAAATGTATGAAATAGAAGTATTTTCTTCCAGCTGCCCCAAACAAAAGAAACATTTTGGGTATTGCTTCCAGACATGCAATGAATTGATTTAAGATCCCCAAATGCTGAATATACATTTATTCTTACAACTCTATATTTAATACATATAATTTACAGGATTGATTAATTGACAAGACTTGTCAAAGGAACATGCCAAAAAAAAAAAGGGGAAAACCTTAAATATTTCCAAGAAAAAACACATAAAAACAGCATGCAAGGGGGGTTGGGGGTTTTTGCCCATTTTACCCCACAGATCTCACTGAGGTGGCTGGGCTGTACAATGCACACCACAGACTTTGGGGTTGGATTTCTGCACCTCCACTGGGAACTAAAGAGCAGAAGTCTGGAAGGGGGGCTTGGAAAACTCCTTACAATGCAATCATCATCCTTGCCCCATGATTAATTCTTTTTTTTTTTTCCATGAAGGTTTTGATTGGCATCAGCCACCTTCCCAAAGAGAAGCAGCAGGACTCACTCCGGGTTTTAGGCCCTTTCTGGGAACTGCTGTGATCCACATGGATAAATCCCAGGAAAAGTCACTTTTCTCCTTTTAAACCCACAGCAGGAGCAGCTGATGAGGCTGAGAAGTCACTCAGAGGCCTTGAGCTGAATTTGCATTCATTGTCTCCAGGGGCACCTGCTCTGCCCCAGAACCACCCACACTCAAAAATCAAATTAACTCTTGTATCCCCAACAGCTTTTCCTGCTTAGTCTGGATCAGTCTTTCTTCTCTGAATAACGGGCCTGATTCTCTTCCTTTGTGGAACAAACAGCAAGCTTAAAAATTATTCAAGAAATGCCATTTATGGAAAAAAAAAAATAGAGTATTTCTGCCAGAGGGGAAATTTAGATGGGATGTTGGGAATTGGGAATTCCTGGCTGGGCTGGAATTGCCAGAGCAGCTGTGGCTGCCCCTGGATCCCTGGCAGTGTCCAAGGCCAGGCTGGACATTGGGGCACCCTGGGACAGTGGGAGGGGTCCCTGCCATGGCAGGGGTGGCACTGAAGGGGATTTAAGGTCCCTTCCAAGCCCAGCAAATCTGGGATTCCACTGGGGAAGCTCCACTGGCATCAGGTAACACAAACAAGAGGGAACCTGCTCAGCCACGCTGACCAAGCTTAGGAATTCTAACAAAACTTGTAGGAATTTCACAGCTACCCAAATCACGCCCATGGATCTCACACAGCCATTTGTTCCTGGAAAGAAGGAATTTCTCCTCACTTGAGTTCCTGTGGATTCTTTTGTTCCTGAAAGGAAGCACAGTAATGGCTTCTGCAAGTAGCTGGGGCAAAACAAATTTTCTTTGCTTTGATCGTTTAGGAAAAAGCTGAGTAGATAAGGAGATAAGAAACTATGGGAGCACTGAGATATCATTAAATATAAGGAGTAAATTAGGGATTGAATGGTGTTTTTTAGGCTTTTTAAGGACAAATGAAGCCATGCCACCTGTATGAAGTCAGTGCATCAGAGACCACAGGCATTTAACTGATGTAACACCTAAACACAGCTTGTTATCCCCGCTGTAACTTTTCCATGGTCTCCTTCCCTATCCCACCCACAGATCTGCCAGCCCCATTCTTCCCTGGGAGGCTCCAGCAGGAAGCCAAGGCCAATGACAAATGGCAGGAGAGGAAATCAGAGATCCCTTCTGTGTTTTCCTGAAGGGCTCCTTATGAAATAGGCGGCACTCAGCTGCCTCTGATCCCAGCACTGCATCCCTGGGGGCTCATTCTCCTCAGATCCCTGCCTGCCTTATTAACTGCCCTGCTAATTAGCACACGCACCTCCTGTAATGAACCCCCAGCCTTTCATTACTGTAACAAGCTGCACAGTAGCAAACAGGACCCCAGAATGACACCTTGTTTTTAACACTGCTGTTTATTATTAATCGGCACACACTGAAGCAATTTCTTACCCAGAGCCGAGTTTCTCCCCCACCTGCTGGGACTAATTTAGGATCAGACACACCTGATCCCATTGCGGCTGCTTGTTAGCAGGGAGAACCAGGTGCTGGGTGCACCTGGGATTATGATTTATCCTCTATTTTTTATCCATTATTCAAGTAACTTCCTCTGTAGTCCACTTGAACTACGAACCCCGAACACAGAACCTTCCAGCCGGGACACACCAGAGCCTGCCAGACCTCCAGCGCGCTAGTTAAATCTACTATTTATCAATTAATAGCGTGCACTGATGGGTTTTTTTGACAACCCTGCACGTTCACTGGGGCCCGGACGAC